ACATCTGGACGTTTTAATGTTTAACAAGTTGTTTTTGCAAAACTGTCAAGTTTGTGGCTTTTTGGTTATTTAAGATATTGCTGATGATATGATGGTACAATGATTGGACTGAGCTCTGAGGGATATTTAATGTCTTGGAAACATGTTTGTATTGTTCCCCCTGTTCATACATCTTTATAACTTTGACTTGGATTTGTTTGGAGCTCTTGGCTTCGTTAAGTCGTCTTTGACTTGAAATTGATCGATTAGGAACTTGACCTACAATATGTAGTCACATCTCAGTTACAACTAGTTACACTACTTCTGATAATAGTTGGCTGCACCAGTAATGCTGTAGGCTTGTCATAGTAAAGGTGGTGAATAATGGTTTATATCTATACCTAATTTATATGAACTTGTAGATAACTGGTTTCATTTAGAAATTAAAGAGTGAGGTTTGTCAAGAAATCTCATTTAACTTAGTCCAAGTTAAATTAAGTTAAAATTAAACGAGATATTTGTCTATGAATAGGACAACAATCCAGTAGCTAGGCCCACATGACATCCATTTTGCATTATCCTCGGCGAACACAAGAAAAGATAAAAATAAATGTGCTGCATGCATGAGTCATTGCAGGGCCGGTGTATTTATTGCTCGATTGCATTGCTCTATGTAATTTCTGCTACAAAGGAATTATGTATTGTGCACAAAACGACTTTAAGTAGATTAGTCTTACTCAACTGTTCCCTACTTTAATCTGTTACTGCCACATCCACAAGTGGAAGGAAGGGAATCAAACAGGCTTGCGTGATTAATTACAAATTTGAGGTACTTGTATTTTACTTGAGTATTTCCATTTTCCGCTACATTTCAGAGGGAAATATTGTACTTCTTTACTCCACTTCATTTATCTGACGACTTTAGTTACCAGTCACTTTGCAGATTCAGATTACTGATACAAAATATAATAAATAAATGATGACATATTAAAATAGGTTGATTCAAGACTTTATTGATCCCCAGGGGGGAAATTCAAAAGCCACCCAGGTGTATATAAATTAGTTAAAATTACCCTCAGCTTTACCAGCTACACCACGAAAACAATGTACATATTCATCAGTAATTATAATATAATAGTATAATATGCAATGATCTGCAAATCTGAAAATGGGCCATTCTGCATTATAAGTACTTTTACTTTTGGGAATTTAAGCTTATTGTGATGCCAGTACTTTAATACTGTTAGCCGATCTTATCTGAGTACTTCTTCCACCACTGGCAGTAACATTTTTAATCTCTCTTTTGTGTTGTCTCAGCCTTGCTGGCAGTGGATATCAGAGCGCCGGATTACACTGGCCTTCACATAACACAGGAGTCTCAAACAGATGGCCACAAAACCCCCATTGGGTTGTTCCTGGTTTGTATCCCTGTCGCACCCCTGTTGCTCTCTAGCTTGGAGATAACACTATAATGATGTTACATTCTTAACTGTTCTGTTTTTCTCTCTCTCCAGCAAGGACCATGTTTGTGCAGACACAGGACACACCAAATCCAAACAGCCTAAAGTTTCTGCCAGGTTGTACAGTTCTTGAATCAGGAACCATGAATTTTGCCGGCCCCCGTGACGCGCACTGCTCTCCCTTAGCCAGGTATATAACTTCCTTAAATACAAAGTTACTGACAGGAGATTATTAAATCGTTTTCATAGCAGGCATTTTGATTCAGCGCTGCAGGAAAATTACTGGTTTCAAAAACGATATTAATGCTGGCTATGTTCCACTGTTTCATAACTAAATGGTATGTAGCCATTATTATTATTAGTTACACCTATGTTTGGCAAGTCACCTATGAAGAGTTATTCACTTGCTAGACCGGTTGCATGAGAACCAAAGCAATGCCTGTAAGTTTTAATTATTGTTGAGCACAGTAATAGCAGTAAGACTTCTGAATGTTCCTTAGGTTGAATCTGCAGCCATTGTCCTTAAAGCTGAGCCCAGTGTTCCCTATCTGACAATGTGTGTCCTCCAATGCATTATTAGAATATGTTACTGCGGTTGCTTGTCTGAGCTTTTAAATCGAAATAAGCTTTGAATCATTCAATGTCAATAATTGTAAAGGGAAATACTGTAAGTGCTGTAAAAGTAATATATTAAATTAGAATTATGATATATAAGTCATACACATGTGGGCATAGATAATGCATGTGTATATGTACAATTTTCTTTCTTTTATACACAAAGTTTCTGTTATTTTTTAACATTTTAAAACTTTTCAAGTGTCAATATAACTTTGTAATTCATCCCAAATTCATCCCCCCTACAAAACCTCTCTGATGTTCTGTGTTGTCTTTAGACAGCTGTTTAGAATTGATGGAGTAACGGGTGTGTTCCTGGGCCCTGACTTTATCACCATATCAAAGGTAAAACCAGGTCCAAGTTATGTACAGTATACCTCATAATGCAGCATGTTGTAATGTAATTTCTTGGAATAACTTTTTTCCTTTCTTTCTCTATTTAGACTGATGCCAATATGGAATGGAAAGTAATCAAGCCTGATGTATTTGCTGCCATTATGGACTTTTTCACTTCTGGACTTCCAGTTGTGAATGAGGATAGCACACCTAATGCGGACACAGGTAAGGACTGTAACCAGACGTGCAGGCAAAACACTGAAATAGACACCTGAACTAGTAAGGCAAGCTGTTTGTAAATGCTAAAGTACCTCCATGTGTCTTTTCAGCACCATCAGATGACGATGATGAAGTAGTTGCTATGATCAAAGAACTGCTGGATACTCGAATAAGGTAGCTGCTTGTGAAGATGCACTCCAATATCATTGTCTGTTCCCTATGACAATGGCTGTCTCTCCCTTTTCCTCACTTGTTGATGTTCTTCTTCCCCAGGCCAACAGTCCAGGAGGATGGAGGCGATGTTCTGTATCGGGGGTTTGAAGACGGCATCGTTAAACTGAAACTGCAGGGCTCCTGCACCAGTTGTCCCAGTTCCATTATTACTTTAAAGAGTGGAATCCAGAACATGCTACAGTTTTACGTCCCTGAAGTTGAATCAGTGGAGCAGGTTTGTTCTCCTGTCAGATTATACTATGTTGTACACATGCTGCCTAATTTAGTTACAGTAATGCACGCTTCTTCTTTCTGACTTCCTCATTAATATTTTTTATTCTGCCATGTTTTGCGTCATAGTTAGGGCTAGGACAGTAATCGACATATATTTGATAACTATATACCTAGGAGATATGAACAGTTACCATATTGCAACACATTTATGTTAACACAATAATCGAGTTTATTGCAAAAACCACCTGTTGCCACCTCTTTATTCTCTGCCATCCACTCAGAGATAAGGTGCAGATTCAACAATAAACTGCTTGATTTATTATAGCGCAAGACAGTGGTTTTGTTTAATAATGGGCTTAAAAGTTTATATTTTGTGCTGAATATACTACAGGCCTAAAGTCATTTGTTACAAAAATTACATTTTAGAGGTGGCCAAGGCTTTTCAAACAGATATTTTATGTCGTATTTTTTAATGATTGACTAACTGTATTAATGGACATGTGCCTTGTCATTACACATAATTGCCAGATACATAAACATGTTTAATAGCACATAAAATTGCACTAAAGAAAATACTTGAAAATGTTAACTAAACTTATTTCTTTTTCCACAGGTGAAGGACGAGGAAGAGGAGGCGGCTCAAGTTTGAACTATACTGAAACCAGAACCACGTTTTCACATTCCTCCCTTCCCCCCGGACACTTCCTGTAATCCATAGATGCAATAAAATGATGTGGTGTATAGCATACCTGTGTCAGAGAGCTCAACGTCATCATTATTCATACAGTTATCATAGATTTTTGGGGTATTTTATATACTATGGCAGTATTTTAAAAATTGGGACTAAAGAGCCCAGTCTTAGAAACTCATGACTGCAGAGCTGAAATAAAATGTATTTATTATTTCACATTGTTACACCTTTACTGAATCAGTTGCTTGTTAATACATATACTGTATGTATATAAATAAAGTTTATTGAAGTATTTTATGACTGCTGTGCCTCCTAATCTGACAGTATTTTGTTGTGTGTGTGGAGTTAATATTTGATTTGCTTAATATTACACAATACTGCTTTTTTTTACAAGCCTTCTCCAAAACAAACACAAGACTACAGTTGCTAGATTAGTCATACTATTTTATTAACTTTTTTCCTTTTATTGTTTTTGTCATTTTACATTTAGAAATACTTTTGCCAAATGCTAATAGTCACATTTCTTTTGTTGCCTTACTAAAGTAGGGCAAAAAACTAAAGTAACTAGGATCGTGTATGTTAATCTTTATGTTAATTTGACATAAGGAGGAGAAATAAAATGTTTTTCAAGGCTAATACTGATGTTTTAATTTGACAAACGTTAAATGTGATCAAATTAACTATATTAAAACAAAATATCATTCTCCACCAGTGTCACACACCTGGCAGCATAGAGATGGCTTTGACATACTATTTATAAAATCACATTTAATCAGTGAAAAGTGAAGAGTTGGGCTATTTTAAATACAACAAATACACATTTCACAGCGTTTTGGTGACTTATTTTCAGAAAGCTGTGTGGGTTGTGCAGGAGGACCTTACAGTCTGTAGTATTTCTAACTTCCTGGCTGCATCTACTGGAAGCTTTACGCGCATTCGTCATTTGACCTTTATATCAACCATTACTCCTCTAAACAATAATCCACACTGTCCTATCAGACTTTTTACATCCCTGTGCAGTTGGCAGAGGGCACAGGCCTGTGGTTGTGCGCTGATGTTGACTCTAGCGGTGATGAATAGCAGCAGGAGGGTCTGGCTCTCGGCGGGTCCCTGCCCACGGATCTGCATCCTGATCCTGCTGCCACGTCAGGAGTGCCCGCGTCAGTGGGTGCATCTTGATTGACAGGCCGCTCGACCAATCAGACGGCGCCGTGGAAGAAGGCGGTTGGCTGTCATCCAGTGGAGTCAGAGTGGGCGAAGCTTATCCGACAGGCGTTCCCAGCAGCTACACCAGTAGCTGTAACTGGCAACCAGACTGTAGACATGTGTGGTGAGTACGGGCATTTATACGTTTATATTATTCAGTCTTATTCCTCATTTAACGGAACAAGTAGGTTATTAAATCTGAAAACACTGCTGCCATCGTTAGTTAAGCCTAAAAGCTGCAGGTCAATTGAAATTAGCTCGAGGTGGCTAGGCTAAACATTTGCGTAGTTTTTCTGAATAACGTAATTTTTTTTTCGCCGGATATAAAACAACCGGTGTTTTTTTGTTTTTACTGGTAACGCTTTTCTGTGTGATATGAAGTTAATAGTGACCAACAGCGACGCGACATCTGTAGATAACGTTAACACGACGTCCGGCTTTCTTCCTGCTAACGACACAGGTTTACGTGCTTTGCGGTGACATTACGTACATCGCGTAATTTTCCATTTAAACCTTTTTTGTTGCTCTGTTTTGTTGATTCAATAATGCCATTGTGTCCGAACAGGAGTCTTTAATATACTGTCTAAAAATGAAAGAACAGCAGTGTCCATTGATGGGATGTAACTTAACACGCTGTCTTCCGGGGCAGTGAGGTTAAACTTTTATTGAGACAAAATGGAAAATGTGGTGAATTGGGAAATGTAGTAGAGATGCTTTGCTTTTATCTGTCCATGTCTCGTATTGTCTGTCTTCTCACACACACACACACACACACACACACACACTGACTGAAAGCTGATGCCTCTCTGTCTCCCATCACTGTCACCTACAATCTTCAGACCAGATAAGAGTAGTTGGTATTTTTAGGATGTTAAAATAAAAGCTTCACTGTTGATATCTACTGTCACAGGTGTCACTCTGTTCTGGTTCATTTTATTTGAGTCTTGTTAAACACGTTGGGTCTCGGGAACACTTTTCCTTGGCTGTTTTGCTCCTTGCTGCCCCTCTCGATCACCTGCTCTTCTGAATGGATGCTCTGTTGAACCAGGCGGCCCTCTGGTTCTACATTTGCATTTATCCGTCAGTGTTTAGCTCTCTAACAGGGCTGTGTTTCAGTGTGAGTTACTCCCTGGGTAAAAATTGGACTGGCTGTGGATGCCTTCATGATTATTGCTGAAATGTGTCAATTGAATGCTTATGTCTTGATTAATGTCGGCATGATATACAACCATAACAGCCTTCGGGTCAGTTTTCTGTCTCAGTCTGTAAACATCGTAAAATGATATGTAGATTCTTGCCAAGATAGTGTGGAGTCATAGTTATGTATAGTTAAGTATGCTGGACTGAAACCAAAACATCTTGAATGGGATTTCTTGTGTAACTTCTTTCGCCTATTCCACTCTAGGCAGGAGATATCAGCTTGCAAATCACCACATCGTTAGAACTCAGTTGTCCCCCAACAGGTCTTACTGCACAGACAGAAAACATCATCTGCTTTTCGTTGTGCAGTAACCTCTCCTGTAAAACTGGTTTCTCAGGCTTGACCCACCATAGAGTTTTGACATGTAATCTTAAGATAAGATAAGATATTCCTTTATTTGTCCCACAATAGGGAAATTCCGAATAAAATAAATAAATAATTAAATAGCGCAGGCTGACGTCACTAAGTAATGCTTGTCCTACTTAGAATGACATTACAGTTTTCATGGTTTCAGCAGCCATCTTGACATATTAACTCTCGTCTTAAATAAATATTATCTCTGTATCGACTACTGGTGGACTTGTATTATACAGTATTATTATAGCATGTTTTTTTGCTTTTACAAATTGCATTGGTGCAAATAAAGGATTCCAAGCAGATTTTTAATTAAAAGCTGAACAAAGTGATTAAAAAATGTTTACAAATGTATTGCACAAAAATATTGATATTAATATTTATGATATTTATTTCAGCCATATCACCCAGCCCGAGTCCTTTCTGTTTCTTAAATCCACATGCAGTGGCACAAACTCACTTGGGTGATACTAGGGCTGCACAGCTGCAAATGGCATTAAGCACTGAGAGTCAGCTGGATGTAGCAGACATTTCAATCAGTCTGCGCTTGCAGCTGCATTTCTAAGCAGACCTTTTAAAGAAGAACACAGCACTAAATCACAACATTTTGTCCTTCTCCACAGGAATCTTTGCCTATCTCAACTATCATGTGCCAAGGACTCGCCGTGAGATCCTTGAGATCCTTCTCAAAGGCCTGCAACGTCTGGAGTACAGAGGCTACGACTCAGCTGGTGAGAGACATGGAAAAGGCTCATATCACCGAGACACACTCTGTTTTTATCAAGGCCTCTTTCCCTCAGTGTCTACTTGCTCCATATTTATTCTGATAATGCAACCAAGTTGTTGATAATATTTACAGTGTGTCCAGTATAACGTTATTGCAGCTTAAAAATGTTTTTTATCAATCAAACTTATTACTAACCTATTACGGTCACAGCAAGACGGATGTTCACTGTGAATTATTGAACAGTCGTTATCATGTTGGTGGGTTATAGTTACTGCACCAATAATGGAGCTAATTTACCTTATGCTATTTGCATTCTGCGCAGTTCCATGCATTAGTTTAGTGTAGCAGCAGCTATATAACAATAGTTGTAGTTATTAGACCAAAAAACATGACATTAATTGCATTAATTCTCACGATATTTCTTTTTCTTTCATCAGGTGTCGGTATCGATGCCGGCAATGGCAAAGACTGGGAGTCAAATGCCAAGTCTATCCAACTGATCAAGCAACGTGGAAAAGTGAAGGCTCTTGATGAGGAGATCCATAGTAAGCTGAGAGGAAGTTGTTCACATGACATGTCATGGGGCCTTGATTGGTCATCCTGTAAACTGTGCTACAGCTGGGATACTTAATATTATCTGCGTTGTGTTTGTCCGACCTTTAGAACAGCAGGATATTGACCTGGATGTGGAGTTTGATGTTCACCTCGGCATTGCTCACACCCGCTGGGCCACCCACGGTGTACCGAGCCCGGTTAACAGCCATCCACATAGATCTGACAAGACAAATGGTCAGTTGTGTTTAAGGTAGAAGGTTAACTCGCCTCACATAGCTAAATATTTTACCTTGTATTCCACAACAGCTCAGTTATTCCTTTGATATATTAAAGTTGTTGTTTTTTTGTGATTTCTGCTCTGCAGAGTTCATTGTCATTCACAATGGAATTATCACCAACTACAAAGACCTGAGGAAATTCTTGGTGAGCAAATATCTTTCATAAGTTATTCTAGATGCCTTTTCTTCACAGTGACAGGAGGCAGGACTAATTCTCTTTCTCCATCTCCACAGGAGAGCAAAGGCTATGAGTTTGAGTCAGAGACTGACACAGAGACCATCGCCAAGCTTGTGAAGTACATGTATGACAACCGGGAGAGTGATGACATCAATTTTGCCACACTGGTGGAGCGGGTGACCCAGCAGCTGGTAAGGACCTGCTCGTGCACACAGCTGCACTTGGAAGTGATCAGCAGATGAAACGGCATGTCTGATATGTGTGTTCTTTCACCTGTCAGGAGGGAGCTTTTGCCCTGGTCTTCAAGAGTGTCCACTACCCCGGAGAGGCAGTCGGCACAAGGTACACTCCCACTGATGCTGTCAGACTGAAGTTAGTTATTGCAGATGAAGGTGTTGTTTGCTCATACAAATGTTCCTGTGCAGGAGGGGAAGTCCGCTGCTGATGGGAGTGAGAAGTGATCACAAGCTGTCCACAGATCATATTCCTGTGCTCTACCGGTCCTGTAAGTTTAAACTTCTGTTTTTAGTCTAATTTTTTCGCGTGTGATTGCGTAAGTGCGACTGAGGCCTACTTTCTCTTTGTTCTCAGCCGGTAAAGACAAGAAAGGCTGCAGTGCCCTACCCAGGGCCGACCAGGACACCTGCCTGTTCCCTGTGGACGAGAAAGCTGTGGAGTACTACTTTGCCTCTGATGCAAGGTAAGCAGATACCTGTATTTTGCCACCTTTTTACAGTGTCCAAACATTCTTGCTCCCCAGTTCCATTCATCTCTGGAGTGTAAATCAAATGTTTGATGTTTTTGGCCCATCCCTCTCATCACGACAGTGCTGTGATCGAGCACACAAACCGTGTGATCTTCCTGGAGGACGACGATGTCGCTGCAGTGATGGAAGGCCGGCTGTCCATCCACAGGATAAAGCGTAGGGCCGGAGACTATCCAGCCCGCGCCATCCAGACCCTGCAGATGGAACTACAGCAGATCATGAAGGGTGAGTGGAAGGTCGACCTTTGTTCTGTTCATTTTCTCCCCATCATTCATTTCCTCTGGCCGCACTGCCTTGTAATTTTGTCCTGAACCCTGTTATTATTGTGTAAGTCTTAATGAGAGACTGGCTGCTTATATAGCTGAACTGGCTTTTAACATCCAGCCCTTAGGCCATCCTTGTTAACATCCAGGTAGTTACAACCCTGCTAGATCAGTTGCACCCCGAAGCCACTTTACTTTTACTGCTGTATGCCTCTAAATCCTACACACTGGTCCTTTTTAAATGATTTATTGTTGAGGGTTAGATGACAAAATAAATTCTCATGTCTCAAATGTCATACTCCATGAGTGAGGAAGAAAGTGAGGAAGAAAATTAGGAAGTTAGTTACTAGTTCCAGCCAAGAAATATTATCTCAGTAATAAAACAGTTAACTGTTGATTTTAGACCCGTTTCTAGTATTTGTGCTAAGCTAACAGGTGGTTGGCTGTTAGCTTCATATTTACCCTGCAGACATGAACGAGGTGTCAATCTTATCTTAGCGAAACGTATGTATTTTTAAAAGTAAAACATAGTAGTGTGGATGTATTTTAACTCTTGTCAAGGACGCGAATAAACCTATTTCCCAAAATGTCAAACTACCCCTTAAGGGATTAGGGCTGCATTTCACCATTTCATTATTGATTAATCTGCCAAATATGTTAGTGGAGAAAGCAGAGAAAACCATCTATCCCAAGTTCCCTGAGCCCAAAGTGATGTCTTTTAAATTGCATGTTTTATCTGAACCAAAATAATATTACAAACAAGCAGTAAATCCTCTTTTCTGAGAAGCTACAACCAGCAAATGTGTATCAGGTTAGAAAATTGTTTGCGTTAACCTGCTGCTATGTCATTAAGTTAGGGAACTTACAATAAAAAAGCAATAACTTTAATTCATTATAAGTCTGAATTGCTTTTATTTCGTTCTCCACTGACTCTTCCTCAGTTGTCCAGCAGAGGGCAGAGGTAAACTGATGTTGGCTGGTCTCTACATTCCTTTGTGGTCCTGTCATTACTCAGCCTCTCTCCTCCTTTCAGTTTCTGGAGCCATTCTGCTGAATAACCTAATTCGCATGACCCAAATTGTTGTCAGAGGGAGGCTGACAAAAGCTTGCATATTTCACTGTCACAGTTTATTATTGATGGAAAAACACTATCTCCTTGATGTCTCATGTTTGTTTTTCCTCCATGCAAGGGTTGACCTACCCTGTGGCTCTGAGTTAATAAAGCAACAAAAAGACCGTAACTCCCTACATTTCCAGGAAAGCCTAATTATGAGTAAAACATTGTTAAGACTTTTCTTGCTCCTCTAGGAGGCTGTGGTTTGCATTTTCAGGTACTTAATGTGTGTCAACAAGACCCTTTCAGAGGGCCTCATGTGGACTTACACTTTGTAAAAAGTCCATCTCGGTGTTCTTAAGAGGCATTTACCCTTTTTTCTTTTTTTTTTTTTTAAACTAGTGTTGGAAATGTTCCTCTTATTTCTGATCCTCCCACCTCAGGCAACTACAGCTCCTTCATGCAGAAGGAGATCTTTGAGCAGCCCGAGTCTGTGGTCAACACCATGAGGGGGAGAATCAACTTCGACAACAACACAGGTTAGAGTGGGGTCTGATTCGTTTTCTCAGCGGAGCACTCGTGTAAAAACACTCCTATCCCTCTGTCTCTATCCCTTCATGCATTTTGCTCAAACACACTTCTTATCTTCAGTGTTTCTGAAAAGTAAAGCACATAAGAACATATATAGATTATTTTATTTACTCCCTGCATGTCATTAATAATCTTAGTTTTAAAACAAATTCTACCCAAACTAAAATTGTGGTTGTTTAGATTTAAAAATTCCCCAAAATGTTTTAAGACATGTATACAAATAGTCTGCTAGGAACAATAAAGTGTGTCTGATATATTTTTTTCCACAAAAAGGTATAATTTCCGCATCCTTAAAAGGGCATATACTCCTATCTCCTTTTAAATATATAGAAATCTATTAATATACAATTTGTAGTTTATTTCTGATGTTCTCTTCTGCTGTCTCCTAGTTCACTGTAAAGTCCATTCTCAGTGTATGTGCATTGGTGGCTTCAAATTTCTACATCAAACTTGTATAAGTTGCAAACTGGACCAGGACTGACTGCCAAACTACTTGTGATGTCACATATCATACACGTATGCCCGCCCCTTAAAATCAGATCAGAGAAACTTTCCACTTTCAGCAGATGAATGTGTAAACATCCTTTTTAGTGTCAAACGCAGCCATACATCATTCTGCACAGTGAAGGTCAAAAATCCATAAATCCATCTGTAGGAACAAGAAGAAATCATTTTTGAGTGGAAGGGACTTAACTGAGCTACATTCATGTAAAAACAAAAAAGAGCGAAATATGTAAAACTAGTGAGTTTTTTGTTAAAACTTTTTTTCGCAGCGCTCTCATGGGCTCTTTGTGGTCTTTTTTTTTTATGAGGTGGAAAATAACGGGGCAGAATGATGGATTAGCCGTTCGGTTTGCTTTTCAGTGATCCTGGGTGGACTGAAGGACCACATCAAAGAGATCCAGAGGTGTCGGCGACTTATCCTTATTGCCTGCGGCACCAGCTACCACGCCGGGGTGGCGGTGAGTTGCCACTAACCAAATGCCTTTTCTTCTTTGGTGTAGATGCACCTAATGGAAACATGTCTGCATTGCCATCCACATTAACTCCATCAGACTAGTTTAAAATGTAATGTCTATTTTGTGCACACAGGTGTGAGCTTTGTGTGCTGGCACCTTCTCTGCTCTGAGCCCGACTGGCTTGTTTTAACAGAATGATGCTGAGCAGCGCACTGTTTCTTTTCCCAGACCCGCCAGGTCCTGGAGGAGCTGACCGAGCTGCCTGTCATGGTGGAGCTGGCCAGCGACTTTTTAGACAGGAACACTCCCGTCTTCCGAGACGACGTCTGCTTCTTTATCAGCCAGTCAGGTAGGGAGGCCAGTGTCATTTGGACTTGATCGAGTGCACATTCCCCATTTGTCCTCCACTTTCCATCCCTGGGAGACACTCTGGTTCTTCCTAATTTATCTTGTCTGGTGCTCAGCTTAAGTCTTAGCAAATTGTTAAGTCATCGGATTTGTGTATCTATACTGCTTTGCTGTAGTTTTCTGAATGTGTGTGGCTTTTTTTGTGGGTGGTGATTTATTTTTTTCAACATGTGAGATTTCTGTGGTGGTTTTTCTATGACGCTGTTTCAAATCAGAGGCCTGTGTGGCGCAAAAACTATTTCCTAACAAACTAATAAATCAGCATAATTTTATTGTCAGAACTGTTACATTGCATAAACTGTTATGTTTTTCCATTCCTGCCAATCCTCCAGGGGAGACTGCTGACAGCCTCATGGCCCTGCGCTACTGTAAAGAGAGAGGAGCTCTGACTGTGGGCATCACCAACACGGTGGGCAGCTCCATCTCCAGGGAGACCGACTGCGGAGTCCACATCAATGCCGGGCCTGAGATCGGAGTAGCCAGCACCAAGGTGAGTCTGGACTTTACGCACCATAATGTTTTTACCACAAGTCACATTTATCACACACTGTCTCATGTGACTGAAATAGTACACACGTGATCTACATCTACAAACATGCATTTTTCAGATAAAGGTTTAGGGCACACAAAATGCAATTAAACTTATTTTCCTCCTCCAAGACTGTTGCTATGAAATGCTCCCAATAATCCAGACTTTCTCTTTTAATTAGAGCTCAAATAATTAGTTGATTTGATTTTAGTCAGTTACTTGTTTAAGTCAGTTTTTAATGTAAAAATGCCAAAGATTCATGTGTTCCAGTCTATAATAGGAAATTTAATATCTTTGGCTTTTGAACTGTTGGTCAGACAAAAAAGCGCCTTTGAAGACATCACCATAGTTCTTAAAAATTGTGATGGACATTTTTAAAGTATTCTATAGACATTTAATAGACTGAGACGCTAGCAAACTAATCATTAGTTGCAGCCCTACCTTTAATTAACGTACATTTGCCAATACTTTTGGACAGACCAGTTGGTAACAATTCAAGTGGATGTAAACAGCCAGCAGAGATTTATATATTTATACTTTTGCCAGGTCCTGTTAACTGACCAAGCCCCACTGAACTCGGTGGAGGAAAAATAATTTGTATATTTATATTACATTTTTATGCGTTCCCATGAGAACTGTCTTTTAATATATTATATCATATTTTGGTTGAACTGACCCCTTTTTTTTTATATACTGAGCTTGAAGAAACTGTACATCAATTTGTTGCATAATCCCATAAATGAACTCGACGCCCACCGATACTGAATGAAACCCAGATGAAAACTCCATTGTGAGTCTGGCCCCGCCTATTGGAAGCTGACATTTTCCTCCAATCTGATCCCACGGGGAGATGAAGAAGCCTGATATTCTCATCTCAACTCATGTAAAGCTAGGATCCTTGGGTTTTCTAAAACTTCTCCCTCAACTCCTTTTCGAAACCAAAAGGATTTGCCAGTTTGGACTCAGAGCAGAGCAGAGCAGAGCAGGGACGTGGTGGAGCCCCAGCTAGCGAGGAGGGAGCGGGAGAGAATGGAGCAGGTCCCTCCCTGGCCCGGCCCTGGGGCTTGGCTCAGCGACTGTTGCGCTGCTCCAAAGCCCCAGAGCACGCCTCAAAGACGCCATCATTTAGTGCTTGGCTGGCTGGGCCACATCCCCACACCCAGCTTGACCAAATGCTGACAACCTAGCTCATCAGATCACTGGAGAACATGTATCGCACCCAACTGCTAAATGACTCCAAATTCATCTACTTTCTCTGTTTCATGCTAATTTGTAAACTGGAGAAGAGTGGGGGAAAAAAAAAAAGTTTTTTCCAATTCGTCTGATCTTATTCAAGATTTATGGAATAAGTTGAGACAAAATACTTTGATGCTATCAAAAGGCAAATCCTTCTGGCACGTCAGCTGACAGAGAATGGAAGAAGGCTGTCTTTAAGAATTACCTAAGAGCATCCATTGGGAATTTACAGGGTTCCAAAGTTTGTTTTCTAGTCCACCAGTGTGTGTGTGTGTGTTGTTTCTGTATGTGTGTGTGTTACTGTGTGTTGTGTGTGTTACTGTGTGTTACTGTGTGTTACTGTGTGTGTGTGTGTGTGTGTGTGTGAGAAATCCTTTCATGTTTCAGCTATATGTAAACGTGGTCATCTTTGTAGCCTAACAGTTGCCATGTTCTGCATGAAACAAAGTTGGTGACATGAACACAGAAACACCACAGTTTACTATGTGGATTAAATACGTTTCCACATCTGACCCGACAGCACAGACTGTCAGAGTTCTGAGGGATTGTGGTTAGCGTGCTGTCAGTGGGGGAAAAAAACTGTGTAAAGGTTTTACAGCTATTTTCTTGGCCCAAGACACTGGCATTTCTGAGTCCTGAGGGTCCCGTGAAATGACTTGGCTTCACCCTAGCACTGATTAAATCTCCCAAATGGGCATGGAAGGCCTCCAAACGTGCTCGGAGATGAAGGAACTAAGAGGAGAGTGGGCGGTGATGACGGCAGGCATCGAGTCTCAGATGTGCTGGTGTTTTCAGCTGTGACATTTCCAGAGTGATCAGAGAGCGTGCCTTCTGATGCGATGTTGTGTGTGTGTGTGTTCACAAAGTTTTCCAGGATGATCAGTGCTAGCTTGCCTGAGCTCATCTGCATGCATCCTAATTCTGTTTGGCGAGTTCTAAAACCCACCTCTCCTTCAGTTTCTCATCTGGTGCAGATTATTAGCTGGAGTTCACTGTCAAAACAGAGAGACCGTAGGCACAGACTCATAACCCTGCTGAAATAGAGGCTCAAGTCAGGATCTGTTTGCTGCTCTTTGTAATGAGGCAGCAAAACAGGAAAACTACAATACCTTTAGTTAACAGGTCACAACAAGCAATATTGTGATGATTTGGGACCGTTTCTACATTTATGCGTCATCGGACATCTTTTATAAATCAATGGATAAGAAAAACAATCAAATGTGAAAGAGGCCCACATCTGAATACAGTGCTAACATTAATAACATACAAACTTTGCCTTTCCGACTCTGTGCTCTGCAGGCTTACACCAGCCAGTTTGTGGCCCTGATCATGTTTGCACTCCTGATGTGCGATGACAGGATCTCCATGCAGCCCAGACGCCGTGAGATAATCCAGGGCCTGAGAGTGCTTCCAGGTAAATCAAGCCATCAGCATTCTGGTTTAGCCAGCGAAATTCTAATCATACGTTAGATTAAAATGTATATGCATGGTAAACCCAGTCTCGGAGCAAAGATCGCGTACATCGTAAGCCTGTTACATTTTTGTAGTTTGTTCAAACAATCCTCTTGGGAGAGGAAGCTAAAAAGTGAGAGAAAGAGGGAAGACTACAGAAGACTGTAGGCCCTTGCATGCTTCTCTGGATCTAAAGCATATGATGGTATGTCCCTAATTGTGAATTAATGAGAAATGTCTGGCTGCTCTGCCGCTCCCTGCCCAACAATAGTCCATGTGACAGCAGCAGCATGCTGACACAGTATTTTACTCTAGATTATGCTACTATTAAATTGTTGCTCCCACTTTTTAAAAAAATCCTCAAATCATATTTGTTTTTTTTCTGTTCCGTGTGTTAGATCTCATTAAGGAGGTCCTCAGTTTGGATGATGAGATCCAGAAGCTGGCGACAGAGCTGTACCAGCAGAAGAGTGTACTGATCATGGGCAGAGGCTACCATTATGCTACCTGCCTGGAAGGAGCACTGGTGAGCAATTACAACCTTATTTTCAACCACCTGCGTCTGAATTTCTGTTTTTGTTCCATCTGATGTGTGCGCTATGAAAACTGCTCTTACTTTATATATCAGCAATAGGCAATGTATCTCTG